AATGAAAATAGTGTTGCAAAATAGAATTTCGAACTTATGACCAGTTTACCTCATGGCCTGTTGTTAGCTGGAACAGAACTACACAATCAACTTCGCAGCCACATGTACACACAATTTTAAATCGGCGAATCAGCCCTGTGCACATGTGGATTGGCACCTGAGACAACAGATCATGTCCTCCAAGACTGTCCCAAATACAACATATCAAGGCAACACTTTTGGCCAAGAGAAACATCGGTGCAAGTCAAACTTTACGGCTCGCTGAGTTAATTACACAAGACAGTGAAGTTTATACTAGAGACAACATTGCAGAAATAGATAATCTATTTCTAGTGAACGAAAGAAGAAGAACTAGGAACAGAACTAGGCTGTAAGTTGAGGTTGTTGTTGGCATCTCCCTCTTTCCAGACAACAGTGTCATAAGGTGCTATCAGGAGGTGTGGAACTCACAGCCCAGGCAATGGTGAGTGGTACTGTCCAAATATGCAGGCTCTTCCCCCTAAGCTGAGAAGACCATACATATTTAAAAAAAAAATACAGCACCACATAAAAAAAATTACCCACTATGCACACACCTTGTTTAAAGTGACAACAACAGAGACTGCTAAAGAGCAATAATACTGGACTGACAGAGAAAAACACAGCGGTAACAGGATTAACAAAACATGGCGGTAACATGTAAAACAGGGTAACAAAACATGGCTCTAATAGGTAAATCAATGTTAACAAAACACGGCTCTAATAGTTTAAACAGGGTTAACAAAACACGGCTCAATGGGTAAAACAAGGTTAACAAAACACGGCTCTAATAGGTTAAACAGGGTTAACAAAACACGGCTCAAATGGGTAAAACAGGGTTAACAAAACGCAGCTCTAACTGGTAAAACAGGGTTACCAAAACATGGTGGCAACAGGTAAAACAGGGTTAACAAAATACGGCTCTAACTGGTAAAACAGTGTTAACAAAACATGGTGGTAACAAGTAAAACAGGGTTAACAAAACACAACTCTAACTGGTAAAACAGGGTTAACAAAACATGGTGGTAACAAGTAAAACAGGGTTAACAGAAAATGGTAACAGGTAAAACACGGTTAACAAAACGATTAGTAATACTGGATAAGAGTACAACACACAAGACTATGAGACAAAAATACAAGCTCCCACAAGTACAAGGAATGTTTATTGTGTGAAGTGAAGTAAAGCTGACAGAAACAAAATTTAAACATCTGAATGTGCCTGGAACCACCATGGCAGTACTGATCAGCTAGATATGCCTCTGAGTGTACTAGTTCTCATCCACAGCTGGCCACACAACACATACATCACGTTATCTAAGAGTAAATGTGAGTTGCTGACAGCTGAAATGTAAAATTATATTATAATATACATCCAAGTATAAAATGAAACCTCTGTTTGTCCCCCAAAATTCTGATTACAATGCGAAACTGAAACAAGAAACCAATAACCACACCCATGTTGACATGAACAACACAAACAATATAATACAACAACAAAGAACAAATCCAATGTGAAGAGACCACAAAAGCACTAGGTCAGTTTAACCTACCCACAATGCCCGGCTCTCTAGCGAAGTTGGTTAAACCTGACATTCGCGGCGGCCGGGTGACGAACTCCTTGTAGCCCGGGTTCACTCCCGGGGGTAGGCAGAAAAGCCACATTTCTCCCAGATTAACGGTACCTATAATGGAATCAATGCCGAAGGGTTGCGATATCCATAGTACCGAGCCAAAGGGTTTACAACTCATGGTTTCTGGATACATAAAAACAAAAACAAACCTACCCACATGAGCACTGGGTCAGTTTAACCTACCCACATGATCACTGGGTCAGTTTAACCTAGCCACAAGAGCACTGGGTCAGTTTAACCTAACCAAAGGAGCACTGGGTCAGTTTAACCTACCCACATGAGCACTGGGTCAGTTTAACTAACCTAGCCACAGGAGCACTGGGTCAGTTAAACTAACCTAGCCACAGGAGCACTGGGTCAGTTGAATCTAGCCACAGGAGCACTGGGTCAGTTTAACCTAGCCACAGGAGCACTGGGTCAGTTTAATCTAGCCACAGCATAGGGTCAGTTTAACCTAGCCACAGGAGCACTAGGTCAGTTTAATCTAGCCACAGCACAGGGGCAGTTTAACCTAGCCACAGGAGAACTGGGTCAGTTTAATCTAGCCACAGGAGAACTGGGTCAGTTTAATCTAGCCACAGGAGAACTGGGTCAGTTTAATCTAGCCACAGGAGAACTGGGTCAGTTTAATCTAGCCACAGGAGAACTGGGTCAGTTTAACCTACCACAGGAGCACTAGCTCAGTTTAACCTAGATTACAGGAGCATTAGCTCAGTTTAACCTAGATTACAGGAGCACAGGGTCAGTTTAACCTAGATTACAGGAGCACAGGGTCAGTTTAACCTAGATTACAGGAGCACTAGCTCAGTTTAACCTAGATTACAGAAGCACAGGGTCAGTTTAACCTAGATTACAGGACCAATGGGTCATGGATCAATAAGCGAACATGAACATCTGGTATTACAAATAGGCTTCCAAGTGTGGATAAACAAGAACAGACCCACTGCTACCCCTAACAAGCATGTCATAAAAGGCGACTAAGTAAAGTTTTGTTGAAAGTGAATGAACAGATATCACAACCCAGCTGTAAACCACAACATAACACACCAATGAAATGTCATTTTCAGGATTCTCACAGATGAAGAAAAATAACTGGAGAACCCTCAAGTTACGAAGGGAGATTATTTCTGTCCCAAGCAGCACACCATGTGTGATTAACTCGTTCTCATGCATCCCAAACATCACACACCATGTTCTATTACTTTCTGAATTTGGTCAGAGAATGCTAACTAAAGAAATCAGGTATTCTCAGCTGCCTCTCTGACATTCTTTTTATTTACTGGTGCTTTATCACAGTGGTTATTTCTCGGTTCTCTTGTAAAATCCTACCCCAGATCACTTCACAAGACAGTCCAACATTTTTAGAGGGTGGTAAGACTGGGTTTCCTGGCTTTCTGATGCATTTAACGACCCCAAAACATCTAGAACTGGCCCTAACCCCAACATCCCACGAGAGAGTGCAGCCTAGTCCCACAACTGCATGCAGCCTAGGTTCCACGACTACATGCAGACTATCTGCCATCCCCTGAAATATTAGACTGTCCCATGACCTGTGGATTTCACCTATTTGGTGTGGGATATTAAGAAAGCACCTATTTCTTTCCTGAATAAGTGCTATAAAAAGTGCTTGGACTGAGAGCTAAGCATAAAGACAGAGGAAGAGATTGGAGCCTCGATATGCAATATTGCCAGACAGCAGCAGGTGGCCAATCTCCAATGTGAAGACGGCAAAAAAAACACATTAAAACAATGAAGAATCAGGGAAAGCCACAGTATTACAGTAGCAAGCATGGTTATCTACTGGTCCTATGGCTAAGGATTCAAATTAATATCGAGGCAACACTGGCCCAGACTTTCAGGCTCAGTTTAAAAATAGGTAACAGGAATTGTCTTGGGAAATAAAGGCAGGCAGTATTGTTCTGGCCACATCAGTCACCAAGTGGTGAGTGGCCTGTAAACTTATGGGACTAGTAGAGACAATATGACTAATACAGCTAGGGTACCAATAGGGGCCTTTACTTATAAATATGAATGGACTTTTTTTCTGCAGTGACAACCTTGGCCAATCTCATTTAAACAGAATTTACCCAACAGAGAACTGGGTACATTATCATCATCATCATCAAGTGCCTCGCCAGCTGGTGCAGGCGATCAAACATCTCCACAGATCTCGGTCTTTGGTGTTCTGGATCAATGCCACTGATGACATTTCCCCATGCCACTATTCTAATTCATTCAACATAATTTCTCTTGGTCTGCCTCTTTTACCAGTGATATCTCCAGTTGTCACAACATTTTCCAGTGCTCCATTTTTTTATCACATGACCAAAGAACTTTGTTTGTCTCCTGCTCACTGTTGTATATAATGTTATACTTTCATTTGCCATTTCCACATACACCCAAAAAAGAATCTCACATGTGAGGACCCTCACAACAGTTAACCTCATTCAGAAGGAACTTAATTCAATGAGACTCTAACTCAATTTGAACTCAATATATGGAGGCTCTAATTCAGGGAACCCGCAGGGAACTATACTTTCACCCATCACAGGGAACTATATTTTCACCCATCGCTGGGAACTATACTTCCACCCATAGACAACTACATTCAGCAAGTACACCAGGTAAGTAAAAGGGAACCTCATTCTATCAAAACCTAGTCTATAGAAAATCACATTTATTTGTGACCACACTCTAAGAGAATCTAACTACAAGAGAACCTTGCCCAAAGAGAGGAACCCTACCCAAAGAAAGGGACCTTGTACAGAAAAGGGATCCTCAACCCGAGAGAAACCTCACCCAAATAGGAAAACCTCGGGTATGTTATTTTTAATTCACACCAAACAATCCTGGAGTCACTAGGAAATCCAATATTCTAGGGATGGGGAGGGGGGGGGGGGTTGGATTGGAGTTAGAGTTAAGGTTAGTTGGTGCCTCTGAGGCAGTTGGGGCTGACAAAGATCCTAACCCCAACCTCAACCCATAACACCCTTAGAATACTGGACAGTCCTGCAAACTGGGATTTCCGTTGTTTGAGGTGGATTAAAAATAACGTACCAAACATACGCATGCCCCCTTTTATCCACCCCAAGAAAAGAACCTTGCCCAAAAAAGGGAATTTCACCCAGAGAGGGAAACCTCAAATAAAAAAGAAAACATTCTAGAGCAATCATGCAAAACAAAATAGTAAAACAGTCGCACAGCAATCAAGTCAACTATCTAAGCTGACCTCACATCATATATAAACAAAGATAACAGTATCTGTGTTGACAAGCTAGGTATGCCCTCTACACTGTAGACTTCCTGAAACTGTCATCTGTAACAAGTGAGTGCACCTGCAACAGAGGTTCATCAGTTGGTTCTCAGTTGGTAATCTCCATTCTGTGTGATGTACCTGACCCAGGGCAGGGCTTGGTAGCCGCTCTTCTCGATGATCTTTAGGTAGCGTACCTGAAGAGAGTGTCAAATAACATCATTCATTGGAAAGTCCAGGAAAATTGCTGTTACGAAAATTAGACTGACACTGGTGTTGACCGAAGTAGATTGACACTGGTGTTAACAAAAGTAAATTAACATTGGTGTTAACAAAAGTAGACTGAAACTGGTGTTAACAAAAGTAGATTGACATTGGTGTTAACAAAAGTAGATTGAGCTGAACTTGTGAAGCTGATGTGGGATATCCAGGTTCAAATCCCCCAAAAAGTTTGGTGTGGGTAGCAACGCGCAGACCGTCTTTACTTCCGAGAACATTGCCTGGTACAGTTTTCTAAAGGTTCAGGTTCCGAAACCTCAAGTGGACAGGTCACACCTGAAGAATGAAGGATGGCAGGGTCCCTAAGGAGATCATCCATGGTGAAATAAAACTGGGTAGAAGATGTCAAGGCTGACCTCTACTCTGATATAAAGTTGTGTGCAAGCGGGACATGAATGATACTGGTACTGAGGTAGAATCAAGGAAACAAAATGTCATGGACCGTGTTGCTTGGAGGCGATAAATCAGGGACTGAATGAGGATAAAGGGAAGAAAGAAAATCTATTGCGGAAAGGATGAGAGCTGAGTGTCTAAGAATAAGCACATATGATATCAACAATGGTCCTGAAATTCCATGCTGTAATTTTGGATGACTTTTTCTTAACAAGGATGGTTCTTGCTAGTCACTCACCTTTTATTTGTGCAGCTGTGGAGTCATTAGATTCAATATACCTTATGTAATAATTCTACATGAATACAGCCAAGTTATCCTGCCTGATTACTTCCATCAACTACAAACTACATTTCTGGTGGTGACTGTTGGCTTTGGCACCTCTAGCAACTGTTATATGCATTTACTGTGTGCGCAAATTTCTGGATTGTGCCAGGACTAATTGTTTGTTCACCAGTTTTTCACATGGGACAGGGAGGGACATTTCATTTCATTCTCACTGGCCAGGAACGGAGCAAGTGTGGGGTCACCCAACTGCAGTGAAGCTGAAACGTCGACTATGACAAACACTCACCATCGCCATGGGCAGCGAGTGAGTCACACATCTGCTCACAGCCCTCCAGTATAAACACCATGGTCTGGAAACACACAAGGGTGCCAGAAACAGTATTTGGTACCCAGTTTATGCTGGGTTAACATGGATGTCAAGGTCAGTTTTGAGAAAAATCTTACTGTGTGGATTCAAACCCACAACCTTCCAACTGGCAGGCAAGCCTCTAGTTATGACTGCAACTATCTTACTACAAGTTATATGCTGTAAAAATGACATGTTCTTGCACAAGTCATTTTACTGTTAGGGATATGTTATCTGCTGTAGCAGATATGAGCAATATGAAACCAATAACTGCTTATTTGTATAAATAACGCATACTGACAATCTGGCAATAAGCCGCAATGAGACAAGCTGTCTTCACTGACCTGTATGCCAGATACTGTGAAGTATGGAATCTCAAACTTGACACTTATTGGTGGCTTGCCCTCCAACTCCTCATTTTGTACACTGGGCAGGCCAAAGTGGGCTCTCATCAGGTACTCTTTGCCTCCCTGTAAGGGACAAATTATGCATAAATGAACAACTGTAAATATATCTAAACAGCGTATCATATTAAGGCTTGAACACAAGAATTTTCCGGGACCCTAGTATGAGGGGGGGGGGGGGGGGGGGGGGGGGGAACACCCACTGCGACCCTAACAAGCATGTCTTAAAAGTCGACTAATTATGGGTTACCTTTGAAGTCAGTGTGTGCATCGGTATGAGAGGCAAAGCCCCTAAAAGTTTCCATCTGAATATAAAATGGATGAGCACACAAAATTCAAGTTCTGGAACAAGTCTAAAGTCCAGAAGGGGACAAGCAACCAGAACTTTCCGTAGAGTTTGCAGCCAGTGAATGCTAAGAAAAAGAAGAGTACTGTCTGAGATAGTGGCAGACATTGCACCTCTAGTCTACCCAGTTCCCAACATCTATCTGTCCAGTTCTCTTTATGTCCCTGCTGATACATAATGTATCATCAACTGATCTCAACTGCTGCCAGTCTGCTGTTTTTCCACCTATGGTACCCCGTGTCATTTTACATTCGTGCATTTTCCTTCCTTCTGTCCCTCTCTATGTGTCCTTAGATTGTCCAAGTCTTCTTTTCTTATTGGCTGACCACTGGACAGCTGTTCTTGCTAAACTGTCACAAACCATTCTGCAAACTCGCTCAAGTCATCTCCGTTGTCTTCCTTTGATTATGCATAACAGCGATAAACATTTTCTTTTCCGCCCCAGTTCTTCATTTGTGATCTCGTTTGGCCAAAAAGTCTTTAGTTGATGGGTAATTTCTACTTTCATTTTCCAAAATATTTTAATTTTCTCAAACTCAGTTGTATTCCTAAAGTGCTGCTCTTTCTTGTATATTCTGAGTTTTGTTATACATCTTATATATTCACTGTAATACCTTTCTGGGTCAGTATTAGACAGCAACCTGAAGACACCCAACAACTTACAGGGAACGACTTGATTGTCCAGATGATACAGTTGATCTCCGGCACATACTTGCAGTTTCCAACTGTGGTTTTAAACTTGGGAGAGTCTGCATCGTTGGGGACTGGAATAATGATCTCCACATTGTTGGCTGTTGATCGTCTTTTGAACTGGCTCTTTGCCTAGAAGATTGGAGGGAAGTAAAGGTGGTCTTTGTATAATGGAGTAAATTAGTGTGAATGTCACTAAGACATCCTAAAGGCATGATATTAGGCTCAGATACAGCACAAAATGGTACATGAACTACTCACTTCACTCAACCATTTATGCATGAACTATTCATTTACCTTAATAATCTACACAGGAATTACTTTAATAAATCATCTATACATGACATCCACACTCAACTTACTCAAACATCAAAGGCTATAATTATGAAGCAGAGCTGCAGTGGCATAGCAACTACTAGACTTTCCACCTCTGATACAAAGGTCTTGAGTTCAAATCTGCATTGAGTCAGATTTTTTCCACACACAAAAAAAGACCTCAACTCCTACGTTGATCCAGCCTAAAATGGGTACTCAGGTAAAGTCCCTGAAAGTAAAGGTGGCCGGCCGGATGTTGACCACATCACTCAAGGAGTGACCACTGACCTATACAAATAGAAATCTATAGCACCACATGAATGAAAAGGTTATTTATTTTAACAGTATAATAATAATAAAAAACTTACTTTAATCATGTACTCTACTCTGCTGTGGACATGACGTTCAATCACTGACTCCACCCAAATCAGCGGCTTCACCTGAGGAAGAACATAGACATTCATAAAAGTAACACAACTGTATCCAGTTTTAGAAAGAAAAAAAAAGATATGTATTTTCAATTTTTATGTTATTTCAAATTTAACTCATGCCAGATGATGTTCTGCTAAGGACTTGCTTATTGATAATAGTGGCAACTGTTTACAGTTTCTCATCTTTAGATGAACATGTTGCCTGGACTCGGCTGTGCACGTGCTGTATCCAATGAACATGTTGCCTGGACTCAGCTGTGCACGTGCAGTATCCAATGAACATGTTGCCTGGACTCAGCTGTGCACGTGCAGTATCCAATGAACATGTTGCCTGGACTCAGCTGTGTACCTGCAGTATCCAATGAACATGTTGCCTGGACTCAGCTGTGCACGTGCAGTATCACTGAAGACACATAATGAGAGTTAAATGCCAGTGAAAGTTAATAAACAGCATCCTGTCTAGGAAGCTGAAATATTTTGGTCCTATCAAGCGCTACAACAGATTGGAAAAAATTATAGCAAAGGGTATGGTACCAGGAAGGAGGGGTAGGGGCCAACCGACACAAAGATAGGCACAGGATAAAAGCAACTCCTTGAGTATGAAAGTACATTTTGCAGGAGAACTGGCGAGAGACAGTTTCTTTCAGGCAGACCATGATGAGTGTGACATTCTGCAAAGGACCTGCTACATGATGATGAGTTTTGCCAATGCCTCTGAACGGTCGGCTCCTGATAGTGATGTTGAAACCAATGCAAGACATATTGCTGCCAAATCATCTGGATCGAACCCAGGCCCCCCCCCCCCCCCCCCCCCCTCAAGCATTACAAAGTGTTCACAACGCCTAAGCCACAGATGCCGATATAACCATAATCATCAAGCAGGCACTGAGATGGGAAACAAAATGACTACAGAAGCTAGGATATCCATAGGAAACACTAAAATGAACGCTGATGAGAGAAGTCAAAGGTGCTGGACTGAATTCCATCCATGATATCGAAAGACTGCACAGGACAGAACAGCAGGAAGGAACAGACTGCGAGCCCTATGTGACATATAATGGGATAATGATGATGGTGATGATGATGGTGATGATGATGACAAACTATACTCACATGAGTATTGAGTCTGTACGACATCAGCTCAAACTCTCCATCTGGAGGGATGAATGAGATGGTGCGGTCATTCTCAAACCTGGACAAGCGGACACACTGGTGAAACTTCACATCCTCCAATTCCACAGATTTGCTTTTGCCTCCTCGGGAAATACAGAAGGTGTATTTTGTTTTCAGCTGTCAGAGTATTTTTCTACTGGCAATCTACAACAGCCTTACATTAGCGCACATGGTGACTACACCAATTAAGTTTTGAACACATCACTACTTTAATGATTATAATCACTAAAGTGCATCCGTAATGAGCACAGTGATTACATCTATGAACACTGCAATTACCTTAATTTCCACAGTGATTCCTTAACGAACATAATGATTAAATATATGAATTCACATACAATTACTTTAATTAATCTAATGATCAAATACATCTAATGATCTCCATCAACATTGTGATAATATTAATGAAACAATGATTCTTCTTAACTTTCACCAGCTGTAAACTGTGGTGGAAAATTCTAGTTGTATATCCACTTCTGGACTTTGGTCTTGTTCCAAACCTGTTTTGTGTGCACATTCGGTTTACAGATCTGGCTTATTTGCACACAAACTGTTAGTTTGCCGCCCCTCAAGCAGATGCACTCTTACCGCATGCTTATTGGCGGTTTGGTGGGGGGGGGGGGGGGGTCTACTCTACTCTTTTCTACTCATAATAAGGCCCCAAAACCCACACAGGAAAACAATGATTCTAAGCAACTGTAATGACATTAATGCGTTAGATGGTTACCTTAATAAATATGGTTAACTTAACTGACTAAAATAGACCTAAATATTACCATTATTAATAGAGTCATGCCATGGAAAGGTGTCAGCAAAATAAAATTACACACGCTGTTGGTGATCAGAACTGTGGGATGCTTGTTTGCTCATGACAGTCTGCATGCAAATGAAGAGGATGATCCCCGTGTGGTCAGTGGCTGACGATCCACATTTGCTGCCAAATGTAGTTAGAAGCAGTTTGAGAAAATAATCAGGAAGGGAAAAGCCCAACTACAGTGTGACTAACACAGCTCTCAGGAGTGAACATTCCACTGTTAAGTGGACACCTCTGGGTGCTCTTTGATGTTAGCATGGGTATCGCAGAGTGTAGAGTTCACCTTGGCCACTTAAAAAGACTACTACAGGTAGAGGATGTCAACCAAAGCCATGTGGACGTGGAAAGCAAGAGGAAACTACCACATTATGTATCATATAAACCCACCCATCATGGTACATATTAAAGAAAAGGAAAGTATGGTCCAAGGAAGATAAGGCACTGCAGTAGACAAAAATATCAAGCATATCCTGGTCATGAAATTTCACAGGGCAGAAAAGTCAGTAGTTTTTCGAGTGATTGATGTTCTGCTAAGGACTTGCTAAATAGTAATAGTGGGAACTGTTTACAGTTTCTCATCTTGAGCTGAATGTGTTGTCTGGACTCAGCCGTGTACTAGTAGTATCCAATGAATGTGTTGCCTGGACTCAGCCGTGTACTGGTAGTATCCAATGAATGTGTTGCCTGGACTCAGCCGTGTACTGGTAGTATCCAATGAATGTGTTGCCTGGACTCAGCCGTGTACGGTAGTATCCAATGAATGTGTTGCCTGGACTCAGCCGTGTACTGGTAGTATCCAATGAATGTGTTGCCTGGACTCAGCCGTGTACTAGTAGTATCCAATGAATATTATTCTTTATCATTTTCTATGGCCAGAGATCCTGCAAAAAACATTAGCTGATTGTGCTCTGCTCTTAAAAGAGATTCAAGCTTGCTGAAATGTGTTTAGAACAGCAGATGGTCAGAGAGAAAGTCTGTCACCTCCACTTTAGGGTCTACAGTTGTTCTCAACCTTCCGAACGCTTCGACCCTTTTAATACAGTTCCTCATGTTGTGGTAACCCCTAACAGTAATATTATTTTCGTTGCTACTTCATAACTTCAGTGAATGTGTGTTTTCCTATGGTCTTAGGCGACCCCTGTGAAAGGGTCGTTCGAGCCCCAAAGGGGTCACAACCCATAGGATGAGAACCATTGGTTTACAATATGTGAAGGTCACTCAGTGTACTTTTTCTTTAGAACACATCTGGTATGAGCAGATTGACACACAACACAGATGCAAACAATCACTTACTGCCAGTACTCTCAAACAGAACTTTATCGTTCAAGCCCAGACGAAGTTCTGGCATCCCAGACAGGAACACCCGCATCTTCACAGAACCAACAATTTCACTGCGAAGAACGTTTCCATTAGCACTCACCTGAAAGTCAACAACAGATAACAACATATAGTGTGTAAGAACAAAACAACGAGAATATACATAAGTTTCTCTACCACTACAAGATGGCGACACAGGGACATACAAGTTTCTCTACCACTACAAGATGGAGACATAGGGACATACAAGTTTCTCTACAACCATAAGATGGAGACATAGGGACATACAAGTTTCTCTACCATTACAAGACGGCAACACAGGGACATACAAGTTTCTCTACCACTACAAGATGGCGACACAGGGACATACAAGTTTCTCTACCACTACAAGATGGCGACACAGGGACATACAAGTTTCTCTATTACTACAAGATGGGGACATAGGGACATACAAGTTTCTCTACAACCATAGGATGGAGACATAGGGACATACAAGTTTCTCTACCACTACAAGATGGAGACATAGGGACATACAAGTTTCTCTACCACTACAAGATGGAGACATAGGGACATACAAGTTTCTCTACCACTACAAGATGGAGACATAGGGACATACAAGTTTCTCTACAACCATATGATGGAGACATAGGGACATACAAGTTTCTCTACCACTACAAGATGGGGACATAGGGACATACAAGTTTCTCTACCACTACAAGATGGGAGACATAGGGACATACAAGTTTCTCTACCACTACAAGATGGAGACATAGGGACATACAAGTTTCTCTACAACCATATGATGGAGACATAGGGACATACAAGTTTCTCTACCACTACAAGATGGAGACATAAGGACATACAAGTTTCTCTACAACCATAAAATGGAGACATAGGGACATACAAGTTTCTCTACCACTACAAGATGGAGACATAGGGACATACAAGTTTCTCTACAACCATAAGATGGAGACATAGGGACATACAAGTTTCTCTACCGCTACAAGATGGGAGACACAGGGACACACAAGTTTCTCAACCACTACAAGATGGAGACACAGGGACACACAAGTTTCTCAACCACTACAAGATGGGGACACAGGGACATACAAGTTTCTCTACCACTACAAGATGGGACAACAGGGATACACAAGTTTCTCTACCACTACAAGATGAAGGTAATTCACCAAAGACCTGCAGAAAAAAATTATGCAATTTATGTAACAGAGAAGGCCTGGCAACACTATACTTTACAAAGCATTCACCAAATGAGGAAACTGATGTAGAAGACAAGGTAGACCAAAAATAATATGGAAAGATAACATCAGAAAAACTCTACAACAGCACAATGTGTCTATGGTCCAGGCGACCAGAAGAGCAAGAAGTAGAACCTTATATCTCCCTCGACACCTGAAAAAAAGGAAGCGAAGAAGAAGAAGATGGGACAGAATATGTGGAAAACGTGACAGAAGAAATATAAGAACAGGATGGTGAAGAATATTTTATGCTTATTAATATTCTATCCCAAATAGGGGAAATCCACAGGTCATGGGACAGTCTAATATTTCAGGGGGTGGTAGATAGGCTGCATGCAGTCGTGGGACCTAGGTTGCACTCTCTCGTGGGACGTAGGTGGGTTGGGGTTAGGGTCAGTTCTAGATGTTTTGGGGTTGTAAAAGCATCAGAAAGCCGGGAAAACCCACTCTTACCACCCTCTAAGATGTTGGACTGTCCCGTAATATACTGGAATTGTTTTAAGGTAGACAAAGGTAAGGACAAATATGCAGATATTGTACATATTACAAGACAGGTGTAGAATGAGTAAAACACAGTTACAAATGTATGCAGTAGGGTTGTATCGAATAGTGATTTTCCCTCTTCGGCAGATCTTTCCAGTGGTCACCACATGTTCCATTTTCCCTCTTCTCATAACATGACCGAAAAATGACGACTGTCTCCTTCTGATGCCTGTGATTAGTTTTCTTCGGGCTCCCGCCTCTTTTCAAAATGTTCGCTTGGCCGTTCGTTCGATGTAATTTAAACGCAACTTTATACTCTCGTTAGCAGAGTATCTTCAAATTTGATTTGTGCGAAGACACCCTAAAAGAACGAAAAATGCATAATCTCTCTCTCTCACACACTAACTAGCAAAAAAAAAAAAAAAAAAAAAAAAGGATGCATTGCCTTTAAATATAAGTGCTTACTTGACGAGGCTAACAGTTTGAGAACCTCTGCTGCAATGCCTCTGTCGAGTCAGCAGGCAAAGACAGATTGCAGTTTCCCCTGCTACGACAGACTTAGGCAACAGCAGCTTATGTGTTAATTAGAGAGTTATTTCATTCCATTGCAGTGTATGCAGAATTGGGTGTAAGGTAACCACTATTCCTATTTGGCCAAATAGTTATTAGGTCCACTATTCGACCCCAAAGCGAATACGAAGTGAACATTCGGTACAGCCCTAGTATGCAGTGAAAAATTAAAGACAATACAGACACAGGCTAGCACCAAAGAGACCCTTAGTATAAAACACAGAGATAAAATAGACACAAAACTGATCAGTGTTGAGACAAGGATCTACAAGCACAGATAAAAACACACATTCCAGGGGTGCAACTTACAAGTAGATTGACAGATTCAATGACATCAAGGAAGACTTCATTCTTGCGGTACTTGACACCCTCAGTTCTCCATGACACAGCATTTGTCACAGCTGGGGGCGGGCGTGGAGCAATCTCCAGCTTCTGACCTTCTTGGGTGATGTACCTGCAAGTTTATAACAGTACAGGTGAGTGTCAGGTAACTCTCACTCAGATGTAATTCCATACCAAATGACTGACTGGCACCTTTTCTCTTTCCTGACAATAGTGTTATATTACACTATATTGAGGCACAGGACTCACAGCCCATGGCTGCGCGTTTGACTAGCAAAAGCCATCCACATCAAGAAAATTCTTTTACAATTATAGCACAGTCCATGGCAATTTGTTCCCACGAGTCTACCTCAATATCCGTATCATTCGTGTTCCACTTACACACATCTTTTTATCATGGTAGAGGTCAGCCTTGACATCTATCTGTAATTTATCATAGAAGATGCCCTTAGGGACAGCCATCCTTCATTCTCCAGGTGTGACTCAGCCACCATACTAAATACTGCAGCAGGAAAATAGCTAGTCAACAAACCAGATATGTGCTGACCTTTCTTCCTTGGTCAATTGAGAATAAATCCAGCAACTTATTTTACACCAGAGATGCTTTTCTGCAGGTGGTCTAAAGTCTTGGCAAGGGTATATTCGAGTCTTGCAACAGCTACATCTATCCCAAAAACATGTAAAACAAAACTCCATCTTATTACATTATCTTTGTTAGTTCTCAACCAGAGGCAAGATTGGACTCTAAACACTAAGCCACTGGCGAATGGGTGGCCTAACCTTCACCTTTGTGCCAGGTCAGATGGATGTTTCAGGTAACGAGTGTGCTGGTTATACTGCAGATACTGCGCCTGTTATGGTCGGTCCAGCGATGGACGGAAACAATATACTCAACCTGGAGCTGCAAGAAATTACCATTTCACCTAAGGGACAAAGAAGTTTGATTAATCAACACAGAAAAGGCATAATTAACCCTTGTATGCTTCTGAAGCTTTTATGGAGGAGACTGAGGCATCTATGGATCTGTCTGAAGAGCTCTGATGATCCTCACTAGCCACAGTTCTCAGCGGCTTCATCCCTGCTCCTGAAAATGGCCACTAAATGTTAAGAGGACAGTAACAAAGAAAACTTACTCTTGCAAGATTTTACTGTCAGTAGTCTGGGGGTAACCAAAATCCATGACCTCATCCAAAAGTTCATAAATAATGACAAAGTTGTCTCGGATACTCTCCTCCTCTAGCTCCTTGAAGTACTCCACAAATATCTGTAGGAAAAGGATGTTTCACTGCGTCATCAGCTAATACATTGCAAGCACATGTACTAAATACAAATGTTGAATTGAGAATTGACATCACAGCACTGAGCTTCTGGCCCCCCTCCCCCAACCTAAAAGCGCTCTGTCCCCATCTTCAGCAGCAAGCAAAGAGTTCCGATTCCGATGGCACCAGTAACTGTCTGATTGTATATCCGTTTCGCCTTTCCCCTAAATACTGAGTGTAACTTCTCGCAGTGCCAATCTCTCGTAGTCTGAGTTTCAGCTTCATAGCAAACGGGTCACCCAATCTTTGCTCCGCTCCTGTGCCAACGAAAAACACACATAATGTTTATCACAGTATTAAAATTGCAGTTCATCACTGACGGCAGCAGAAGTGGCCAACAGATCAGCAGTTGCCCACGCGATCAATTTCAATCACATAGGGCACCACAACACTGCACGACAGGCATCGCGCCATTTTATGAATCTACAATTCACACCAACACGTTGGTCACAGTTGAAAAAACATTCCAAATGCAATCCGCAGCTCACAGGGTCACGCCATGCATTCAACTCAGAAGCTGGGCAACGAAACTATATCCAGTCTACAAATGGAGCAAAAATGCATCGGCCACCGTCCGGCAAAAGGCAAAAAAATTTGCCTCTGCTTCGAACAGTGCCGCTGCCTAACGTCCATTTTGACCGGAAGCATAACTCAAGTGGGGGGGATAAAGAGCAGAAGATGATGAATGCTGGAGACCATATTAGCAGGCATGTGTACAAACCATGAAAACAGCTGGACTAGTTTACACCAGCGGTTCTCAAATTTTTTTTGCAGCGGCACCCTCGTCAGGCAAAAATTGTTTCGTGGCACACCTATTGCTGGTTTACACTATGTCGAGAAAGAAAGTTACGTGTATATCCTCTACAGCAGGGCTATTCAACTGGCAGCATTCAGGTCAAATCTGGCCCGAAAATCTTTGCCAGTTGTACTGTACTGTATTAATGATCTTTCTATGCTATTTCTATTCTGGGGCCTGGTTGAAAACATTGGCCATGAGTAAACCTAGCTGAACAGCCCTGCTCTACACCAAGGGCAATCAACTAAGGGGCAGAAATCTTCAAAATAGTGACTGTCACAGGGCAGAAGCCAAAGCAGTGCCAATCTCTCCAGACCGTAGTGATCTATCTGTGCCTCCACACTGTTAAATCAATCCCAAACAGCCTTCCCAACATCTAGCTTATCATAAATCAGAAAGAAAAAGAAGAATATATCAGATCACCATCAAGCAGAACAGAACCGTCCAGTCTATCTGCCTGCTCATTTCCACACACTAAGCAAACAGTACATACGATCTTTGACACAAGGTTGGTCAAAACTACAGTCAATTCAAACTTTGACACAAGGTTGGTCAAAACTACAGTCCATTCAATCTCTGAAAGTTTGATTAGCCACTTAGTTACATGATGCAATGTTTGCCAGCATCTGGCGCAGCACACACTATGGCTCACATCCTATGCCTATTCAAAACCTAACACTGAAAGGTAGAATAGATAAGTTGCGTATCCTTTACAGGCTGTTGTGTGGTTTTTCTAGGCAAATTTATGTCCAGTAGTTTGCCATTGCTTTCTGGACGGTCAGCTTTCTTGATACCACTGTCGAAACCAACGCAAGGCACATGGCCGCAGCTGGGATCGAACCCAGCATCCCGGCATTACGAAGCGCTCCCACGACTTAGCCACAGAGCCGACAAAAGGTAGAATAGGATTTGAAAAAAAAAAAAGAAGAGGAAGAAGAAAAAGAAGATACATTACTTCATTACTACCTTAATCTCAAACAACTACAAGAACTTCAGGTCAAAAGAGGTATCGTCAAACATGTGCACTATATAGGTAGCCAAAGAAGAATAGTAAACCAACACAGAACTGGTGTTATCACTACACGCTGAAGGATAAACTGAAGATGGCACCCCAGCACTTATGGATTTGTCCCATGTGCAATAAGGATAATCTGTCGATTTACTCATCATCATCATGTAGCAGGTCCTTTGCAGAACGTTGCTCTCATCAGTCTGCCTGAAAGAAACTCGGTCTCTCGCCAGTTCTTCCGCCTCAGGTACTTTCATACTCAAGGACTCACTTATATCCTCTGCCCATCTTCGTGTCGGTCGGCCCCTGCCCCTCCTTCCTGGTACCATGCCTTCTGCTATAATTTGTTCTAATCCGTCGTGGCGCTTGATATGACCAAAATATTTCAGCTTCCAAGAAAGGATGCTGTTTATTAGCCAATCTTCCTTGATGTTTAGATCTTTTAAGAAGTCAATATTTCTCCTCTTCTTTGTCCAAGATATTCTGAGAATCTTTCTATAGCATTTCAGCTCAAAAGCCCCTATTCTCTTTCTTAAGGACTGAGAGATAGTCCACGACTCACATCCGTATGTAGCCACAGGGAAGATGCATGCTCTCAAAATTCTAATTTTTATCTCCTTGCTGGTGCTTATCAATTTACTAACTATAATTAATCTATATAATCAATATTCATCCTCCTCATCACCTTTTCAACGAAAGTTCCACTGATACAAATTTTCTATATGATTCTTATTTTTATAATCAGCATTTGTACTGTACAGAAAATTAATTAATTAATACATTCATATGCCACTTAAGATCAAAGATCTATTTCATGCCTGAATAAACTCTTTTCTGGATAAACATACATTGCAAAGAACATGGGAAGGGGACTCAGTGGGTCTATTCTTCTTTCCCAAAATAGGGCCCTATAGGACCACTTTGGTTTTTAAAGACAAAGATGCTGTAAAAATGCTGAACACTCTCACCTGGACTAACTTGTGAAGAAAAGAGAAGACCAAAGTGACATTGGCATTCTTCTTGGAGGTGGCCACCAGGTACAAGTTGTTGTACTTGATGTACATGAAGGCCACCTCGCCATGTTGGATGATGGGTGTCAGGTTACTGTCCTCTTCCCTCTCCATCACCAGGGTCATGAACTTGTCAATCACTGACATGTCAATGTCACCCCGGTAATTGCGGCTGATCATCACCTGCAAACACAGTGAGAAAATGTCACCAAGGAAATCCAGTCACTCTACCTCAAGATATCATGACTTAACATAAATTATCATCATTATCATAAACCACTTTAGCCATTGAGCGTCGTGGGGAGGAATAATTTGCGAGCCAGTGCAGGTTGGCTGCCACTGGCTATTGTTGGCTGTCACTGGCAGTATATAACTATATACTGCCAAGTATTATCTACATCTTGCTTTTAAAAATCGCATATACTTAATGGGGGAAAAAAGGTTGCAACAACTGGGTCTGAAATGATAGTTATAAAACAAAGATAATACGTCAAGAATATGGTAACATCCCCCCAAGTGAAACCCTGCTCCAAGATGTTTAATCATAAACCTATTTAGACAGCAATGTTAACAAACATGCCAGCAACAGATGAAGATATTCACGGTGAAGTGGTCAAGCCGTTTAACCTCGTGCTCTGAAGGTCTGCACTGTTCAGTTCACAGGTGCAATTTTTATGGAGGTCCTTTTGGATCGTCATCAAAGCTATAGAGACTGCGCTTTGTGTGATGCTCTCAGCAGGTGGCTAGCTGTTCTGCGAATAAAGACCAAGCCATATGGGATAAAACTCAGTGCAATGAAGTCAATCTCACCTTTAACGTTCAATACAAAAGACAAGCACTGGGAACTATGATGGCAGCGACGAGACAAGATGGATGGCATGAGCTGGCTAAGAGTCTTTGCTCCAAAGTGTAATAAACAGCAGAAGAAGAAGAATGACGGTGAGGGGGTGCATCCACAACTCCCTGATTACATAATACACCATGATCTGTAGATTATCACATTTTGTACAAAAGGAGCCTCCAATATCTAGTGAAAGACTGTTTTGTATTGTAAACATACAATATCTTCTGAAAAAGACTGTTTTGTATTTAAACATCCAATATCTTCTAAAAGACTGTTTTGTATTTAAACATACAATATCTTCTAAAAGACTGTTTTGTATTTAAACATACAATATTTTCTAAAAGACTGTTTTGTATTTAAACATCCAATATCTTCTAAAAGACTGTTTTGTATTTAAACATACAATATCTCCTAAAAGACTGTTTTGTATTTAAACATCCAATATCTTCTAAAAGACTGTTTTGTATTTAAACATACAATATCTTCTAAAAGACTGTTTTGTAATTAAACATCCAATATCTTCTAAAAGACTGTTTTGTATTTAAACAAACAATATCTTCTAAAAGACTGTTTTGTATTTAAACATCCAATATCTTCTGAAAAAGACTGTTTTATATTTAAACATCTAATATCTTCTGAAAAAGACTGTTTTGTTTTTAAACATACAATATCTTCTAAAAGACTGTTTTATATTTAAACATCTAATATCTTCTAAAAGACTGTTTTATATTTAAACATCCAATATCTTCTAAAAGACTGTTTTATATTCAAACATCCAATATCTTCTAAAAGACTGTTTTGTATTTAAACATCCAATATCTTCTAAAAGACTGTTTTGTATTTAAACATACAATATCTTCAAAAAGACTGTTTTGTATTTAAACATACAATATCTTCTAAAAGACTGTTTTATATTTAAACATCCAATATCTTCTAAAAGACTGTTTTGTATTTAAACATCCAATATCTTCTAAAAGACTGTTTTATATTCAAACATCCAATATCTTCTAAAAGACTGTTTTGTATTTAAACATCCAATATCTTCTAAAAGACTGTTTTGTATTTAAACATACAATATCTTCTAAAAGACTGTTTTGTATTTAAACCCATCAAAAGACATATTATTCTCTAAATGGATTTACCTTTCCCTTCACATCGAGGATGTAGATTGCCGAGGCCGACATGATGGCAACACGGCCTTGTCAGTTCCAATCTGCTGCCTTCACTTTATTCACTTGTGCCTAATGTGAAAATACAGATACAAATTAACCTTCTTTCACCGTTATCTCTCAAGTCTGTTTTGAAAAAAATTAACAGATTAATTTGTCATAACAATTGAATATAGGTAGATTTACATCTGGAGAAGGGAGTGCTCCAGAGGAACCTAGACAGAGTAGAGGACTGATGCACTATGTGCATGTTGTGGCTAACACAGCTGAGGGGTCTGCCTACAAATTAACATCTTCTTCTGTCTTTTCTCTACTCCTGGAATGACTCGCGACATCAGAGCAGGAGATCTCTAGAACGGTCCATTCTGTTCATTTCATTTAAAGTGATTTTCAGTATCTCTGATACTTTTGCAGTCCATGTCCTGAGTGGTTGCCCTATGGCTCTGTTACCGCTGCATCTGTATAACACTGCTCTCTGTGGTGCCCTGTCTGATCCAAATCTTGTTACATGGCCAAATCATTTGATTTGTTATCTGCCTATACAATTTGAAATGTTAACTATCTGACTAGAATGCTACAAGGAAGACACCTTTTTGTGTGAAGATGTTTTGGGAAGTCCTTGTCTTCAATGATCTCTGGCCATGCATGCATCACATGGACCATAAACTGGGATGTCTGCTTGAGGTCTCTTGAGTACCCCCAATGTTTAGTTACCAAGTTTACTAGATGTGTCTCAGGTTGTTTCGCAGTTTCCCGGGAGAGGACATATTCTGTAGGACTCTTCAGCTCGATGACATAAGGAGAAAGCTGTTTGGCTTATACTTCCTTTATAGGACACTTTGGTGAGCGAACGATGTACTGGTGAAAAATTGTGACTCGGTCTGCTCTTTGTAGATGACTGAGGAAATCCTTTTTATTATTATAACCAGTGTTTATTTTGGGAGTAAATTTATTTTTAAATGCTGATTAATGGGGCTATTTAATATTTTTATGAAAGTTCTCCGGACCAAATACTAGTGTAAAAATGTAATTAACCTTTTACTAACAAACACTTCATGGAACAGAAACTCAAAGTACCCATTTTCGGCTGCACATCTCAAAATAAATAAATCGCAGAAACCCCATTGAAATATCTTTCCACATGTCCACCTACCTTGTCTTAAACTCTCATTAACTGCTCCACAAATGCTAACACTCTTTGGCATGTTAAAGAAGCAAAGAACAGTAACACTGCAACACAAGATGCATGTTTAAGATGCAGTAAAGATGGTTGAGTTGTCATGTCTGACTTCCTCATTCTATAGACAACTTTATGTGCAGGTTTCAACCAATAAAAACAAGTCGACAAAAGAATAGGCATGATCTGTTTGGGGGCCTATTCTTCACTGAAGAAGTTACTCCCTCAAACTAAACTGGGGTTTGATCATTTTGAAATGCGAAACAACCGGGTTCCTACCCTGCTAACCCTGAGAGCCTCACGAAAACACGGAAAACTGCGACTGCAAAAGATTATATGAAGCTACTGACAGAACATTTTAATTCAAATGTTCCTTGTCATTTATTTACAATACTGTCAAGGCAGATTCAATACACTAATTACATATTTCTCCTTTACAAAGGAGTCATAGTTGAAGGAAGGCAGGGCCAGGACTTCACTATGCTGCTCCCGTTGACTGTGGAGACAGAAAGATTCTTCACAGGCGTACAGTTCCACAAATTTGTTGATGAAACGACCTGCTGGTTCAACTTTTAATCTAACATTCAAAATTTCAGAAAAACTTCGCACTTACCAGCTGTAACGGCTGAACCACATTCAAGATAAATTTATTAATTTTAAACTATTTTCTTGTCTAGCCTTCGTCAGCCGACAACACAACCGGAAGTTACAACTGTCGTCTGCTGCATCATACCGTAGTGCCAGATGCGTTGACAAAACCAGTCCAAAGCTAGATTCGAACACGTACACAGCAATTATCACGCCCCCCCCCCCTTTCCCCAACGTACCGCAATCGAAACCCACTGTCTTTCTATCTACTTCTACCCCACCAGGACATCACACGCGATAAACACCCGATGACACAAAGTGCCACCATGCGGATGCAACCCACTGCTGGCTGCGTGGATTTTTAATCATAATATGGGGCGTCGAAGGTATACCCAGCCTAAAATGTGTTCCAGGATGGATGTCTTGGGGAAGTAAAGACGACCGGCATAATGCTGACCATCCAGTGCCGATTTTTATGTAGAAATATGGGATGCTTTTCCCATACGCCCAATGCGACTAAGGCGTGAAAAGGGATCTTTACTTAGATATATGTGTGTGTATATGTGAGTGTGTGTAAGTGTGTGGGTGTGTGGGTGTGGAGAGAGAGAGAGAGAGAGAGAGAGAGAGAGAGAGGGAGAGATAATGTCAGTAAGAAGTAACTAGGCACATGGATAGCATCTGATGGAAGAAGTATCACAGAGAATAAACAACAGAAAAGGCCAGGCCAATACCGACAGTTATAAAATGAAGACCATTTTGTGCAAAAAATCCATGTCAGTGGAGGTTAGGAAAAAAAATTTCACAAGCTACATAGAACCAGTTTTAACGTACGGCTGCCAATCCTAGAGAATTAATAAACAAGCCGAACAATACCTTGATGCCTCGAAGATGTGGTTTTACAGAAGGATCTTAAGAACTCATTGAATAGCTAAAAAAAGCAGCCCATATATTTTGAAAGAGGCCATTGCTTGACAGCTTGTCACAAACATCAGAAAGAGACAGTCATAATGTGTGTGTGTGTTGTCATTTTATGAGAAGAGGTAAAATGGAACATGGTGTGACAACTGGGAAGATTTGGGAAAAGAAAGCAGAGAATGACAGCGCAAGAATATTCTTGACAGCCTTTTCTTATTTCCTGGAGGGATGTCAACACACGAACTGATACAGGCAGTTGCGAATCACATATTTCGTAGAGGCATGATCGCCCACGCCAATCGGCAAAGCACTTGATGATGATACATTGTTAAATTTTTCTTTCGCGTTAAATCCTAATTTTTAATGTTCAAAATGGCCCCCTCCAGCAGCGGGTTTCAATATCATTGAAGGAGAAAGTTTTTGACGTCGACAAAGCAATCAGCGTTTCGGACAGAAGTGAAATATTTTGATCACCTTAGCTCACAAAGTTAGCTGTAATACTAATCTACTCACAGTACCTTATCCTTATGTTAAGGCATTCAGGTATATTTATATCATTGTTCAATACTAGACTAGGTCGGTAATAAATAGTAATAATAATCATCATCATCATGATAATACATCATGTAGCAGTTCCTTTGCAGAACGTCGCTCTCATCACGGTCCGTCTGAATGAAAGAAACTCGGTCTCTCGCCAGCTCTCCTGCCTCATGTACTTTCATGCTCAAGGAATCACTTTATATCCTGTGCCCATCTTCGTTTTGGTCGGCTCCTGCCTCTCCTTCATGGTACCATGCTTCTGCTATTTTTTTCTCCGGCTATCTTCCGATTAACGGTCCCAAATTATCGACGAGGCCGAAAATATACCCTAACAGGGCCTCAGTCACATGTCAATTGCGCACTTCCACCACCGCCAAGAGTATCTCTCAGCTTTCTTCATTTTATTTGCTTTGGGGTCACAGTTATCTAGTTTAGCTCCAATCCACGCCGCGCGTAGCAGTGTGGGAGATACTCGTGGCGATATAGTCCCCTGAAGTCTGCAGTTCAGCGGTGGCGGTAAAGTCCCTGGAAGTCCGCAATTGGTACGTGACTGAGACCCTAGTAGGGTATATTTTTGGCCTCGATAATTTGGGACCGTTATACAGAAGATAGCCTTTTTTTCCAATCCGTCATAGCGCTTGATATGACCAAAATATTTCAGCTTCCGAGACAGGATGTTGTTTATTAGCCAATCTTTCTTGATGTTCAGATCTTTCAAGATGTCAGTATTTCTACTCTTCTTTGTCCAAGATATTCTGAAAATCTTTTTATAGCATTTCAGCTCAAAAGCCTGTATCCTCTTTTTTTTAACACTAGGAGATAGTCCACGACTCACATCCATATGTTGCTATAGGGTAATAATATTAATACTTATACTATTATCATCATATAATTAATTTCCATAAACGATGTTATTAATTCTGACTGCAGGAATGGCATTCACACATTCTTTGATATGAAATCAAAGTCAAAAATTTTTTTAATTTGCAACTCATATTTGTAAACTAGTAAGCGCACTTTATATGTCAGGGCTATTTAAGTTTAAGTAAGTTTACTCGTGCCCAAAATGTTAAAAATTGAAATTGTCAGGGACCAAAGGATTGAATTCCAACAAAGAAAGATCATTAATGAATGAAATTCTGCTGGCATTGATCCCCAGGCCACTTGCTAGGCATCATTCCCCGGGCCACTTGCTAGGCATCGATCCTCGGGCCACTTGCTAGGCATCGATCCAAGGGCCACTTGCAAGCCTTCCACAGCCCGCCAGTTGAATAGCCCTGTTAATGTTACTGTTGTGGCTTAGAAGAATGTGGGAAGGCCTGCCACTGCCTAAGTAACAGTTCACAACCCAGAGGTTGTAAATGTATGATATTATTGTCTTTACCTTTTAACCAACAAAAGTGCTGTCCCTTCAGTGAATGTTTGTTCTTTTTACCTTCACATTCATAAGGTGGGCTTACCTGGACTGTGACTTCTAGATGTCGGATGATTTCAGTGTCTTGAGCTGAAAACATGACATTCCACTGATATTTTCAACTCAGAATGAGACATCCAAAACAATTCAGTTTACTCCCCCCACCCCTCCCCATTTTTTCTAGGTCACTGGGTGAAAGGGTTTATTACTTAATTGGCAATGCTACTATTAAGTGATAGTACCAAACCACTGCCCTCAGGAAATCAGTGAAACAGTATTCTCAACTGCACTGGCAAAAAAAAAAAATCACAGGCTAAATTGAAAATTTGTATTAACACATTCAGGAAATAAACGTATCTAACATTATGAAATCTAATAAGGTCCTAATATAACTATAAATATATACACTATTCTCAAGCTTATTCTTAGAGTTCTATAAGATGAGACAATTGTAATTTTTTTGGTGTACTGACGAGATATTCGGGACACACCTAAATAACAGGGGATCATGAAGAATACCCACAAGAACAATGGGTCAGAGTCTATACAGATGGGTCCGCAGAAAGTGCAGTTAGAAATGGTGGTGCTGGAGTGTACATCGAATTCCCAGATGGTACTAGGGATAAGTCCAGCGTACCAACCGGGAAGTACTGCCATAACTACGATGCAGAAACCCAGGCTATTAAGATAGCTACAGAGAAACTGCTAAATACCAACCTTGGCTCACAGTATGTGGTAATGCTTACAGATGCTAAATCAGTACTTGAAGCACTCCAGTCTAGGAAACTACCAGAATTGCAAACACTGCTGACACAACTCAGCGTTCAGCGAAGAGTCGTAATGCAATGGATACCGTCTCATTGTGGAGTGCCTGGAAATGAGAAAGCTGATCAACTGGCAGGGGAAGGTGCGAAAAAAGAGCAGCCAGATGTACCAGTCACATACCACCGAAAGAAAAGAATAATTAAATCGATCAGGAAACCACCAGCCCAGCACAAGACGACTATTTTATTATGGACAGACCAGAACAAGTCATTATCTTCCGCCTCAGAACAGGGCACAACCGATTACGTAACCACATGTACACAAAATTCAAGATAGGTGTATCAGCCATGTGCACCTGTGGAAATGTGCCCCAGACCGCAGAGCATGTACTCCAGGACTGCACCGATTTTGACACATTAAGGCAAACCTTTTGGCCAGAAAGAACAACAGTGGAACGTAAACTCTATGGACCACTGAATGAACTAACAACGACAGTGAAATTTATACAAGAGACAAAACTGCTGATATAGATAACTTATTTCAGGCGAACGAAAGAAGAAGACAGGGGATCATCTCACGATTTTTGGCCCAAAAAGAGAGTGACTTCCCTTCCTATTCATAAATCACCTTGTCGCAGAGCTTGTGCTATGTTGCGGGGGTGTTAATGATTGGCCAACAACACGCAGAATTTTACTAGTTGTTGTTACCAGCTGGTGATATCACGTGTTCTGTATTACAGGATGTAAGCACTTTAAACAGTTCTGAAACATGCAAAAATGGCTCTAACCCCAACCCCTCCTTTCCCTTTGTCCAACGAGAGAGTGCAGCCTATGTCCTACAAGAGAGTGCAGCCTATGTCCTACAAGAGAGCGCAGCCTATGTCCTACAAGAGAGGGCAGCCTATGTCCTACAAGAGAGGGCAGCCTATGTCGTACAAGAGAGGGCAGCCTTTGTCCTTCGAGAGAGTGCAGCCTATGTCCTACAAGAGAGTGCAGCCTTTGTCCTACGAGAGAGTGCAGCCTATGTCCTACAAGAGAGTGCAGCCTATGTCCTACAAGAGAGTGCAGCCTATGTCCTACAAGAGAATGCAGCCTATGTCCTACAAGAGAGGGCAGCCTATGTCGTACAAGAGAGTGCAGCCTTTGTCCTACGAGAGAGTGCAGCCTATGTCCTACAAGAGAGTGCAGCCTATGTCCTACAAGAGAGTGCAGCCTATGTCCTACAAGAGAGTGCAGCCTATGTCCTACAAGAGAGTGCAGCCTATGTCCTACAAGAGAGTGCAGCCTATGTCCTACAAGAGAGTGCAGCCTATGTCCTACAAGAGAGTGCAGCCTATGTCCTACAAGAGAGTGCAGCCTATGTCCTACAAGAGAGTGCAGCCTATGTCCTACAAGAGAGTGCAGCCTTTGTCCTACAAGAGAGGGCAGCCTATGTCCTACAAGAGAGTGCAGGATATGTCCTACAAGAGAGTGCAGCCTATGTCGTACAAGAGAGTGCAGCCTTTGTCCTACGAGAGAGTGCAGCCTATGTCCTACAAGAGAGTGCAGCCTATGTCCTCCAAGAGAGGGCAGCCTATGTCCTACAAGAGAGGGCAGCCTTTGTCCTACGAGAGAGGGCAGCCTATGTCCTACAAGAGAGTGCAGCCTATGTCCTACAAGAGAGTGCAGCATATGTCCTACGAGAGAATGCAGCCTATGTCCTACGAGAGAGTGCAGCATATGTCCTACGAGAGAGTGCAGCCTATGTCCTATGAGAGAATGCAGCCTATGTCCTACAAGAGAGTGCAGCATATGTCCTACGAGAGAGTGCAGCATATGTCCTACAAGAGAGGGCAGCCTGCATCCAGTTCTGCATGTTTCAGGACCATTAAAGACTTTTTTATGGCCATAATTTTTCTGTTCTTTTCTTTAGTCTTTGGTTTCAGAACTTGATACTGGCATGAGTTGATTAAGGGCCTGTTCTTTATTGGGGGTAAAGGGCAAAAGTAGCAAAAGGAGAACTACTAAGCTATATATGCAGACTGTATTGACTAAATAATATTTCAGTACTAACTTAACATTATCACCCCATAACACAAAGTGTCATTGAGTCACAAGTTGCTGTTGACCGTCTGATCAGCTCCCCCCACCTTTGAAGGTCAGACCCAGTGGACTTGGTTGTATGCCTGAGGCCTGTCCAGTCAGTCATGTTCTGTATGCAGATCTTTCTTTCTGTATGCAGATCTTTCTTGGTCTGCCTCCTGTCCTCCTCCCCTCTACTGAGCTCTGTAGTATTGTTTCAAGAGGGCTTTATATCTTGTTAAGTCCATACCGTTGGATTTTCTGTCTCCTCACTGTTGTACTAACTAGCATTTTAATTTCTATCTTCACAGGTTAACACGTACAGAGAAGAATTCTAAATACACCATGTCTAGAATAAGAAATACATGCAGATTTAGATATTTGTGAATTGACCAATTAAACATCAAAATGAGTTTGGTTTTAAAAGTACGAAGTGTTTTGGAAAAACTGTACACGAAACATCTTCTAGCCACAAATATCGTAACATGTGGCTCACTTCTGGGGCTTGGAGATTGTTTCGTCCAGCGAATAAATATGATGATCAATAAAGAAGAAAAATATGATTTCCCGCGGACAGGTAAGAAATTTTGATATTACTTTTTAGAAAATCTGGTCACATTTCTTTATATACATTATCCTATGAGAGTAATAGTTAATAATGTTAAAATATTATTCAGAAGGTAGAAGAAACAGTTAGTTAGTTAGTTAGTTAGTTAGTTAGTTAGTTAGTTAGTTAGTTAGTTAGTTAGTCGACAGATTATCATCATCGCACAGTGAAGCATTCAGTCCATAAGTGCTCAGATCCCCCCTTCAGTATCTCCCTCAGCCTGTCGTGGCTTATGACACCAGTTCTGTACTGGTTTACTATTCTTCTTTGGGCTCCTGTGTAGCGCTCTTGTCTGGCTTCCCCCCTTTTGATGTTCTGTTCATGCAGTATCGTCAGTGTTGCAGATTCACAATCATTATCTTGATTTGTTTAATCAAGCCGCCTTTCTGAGGGCATTCAGTATATCAGCCCTGTCCATTGCTCATCCGTTCCCAACGTGAGCATCACTTGCAAGTCTATCAGATTGTTCATTAACCTTTACACCAGAATGTCCCGGAACAAATATGAAACTCATTTTTGTCAGCCTAGGTCTGTTAAGGGACTCCACCCATTGTCTTTGTATGCAACCCTTCTGTCTTCTTGAGTGTAAAGAAAGAACAGTCTTAAAACTTAACTGAAAATTTTAAAGTAAAAAAAAAAAATGGTAACACCGTTGTCCTCATTTAATAAATAATCTGTTACCAGATTTTGTGCTAGCCAGTTACTAAAAAAGACCCCCAAAAAACAGCACAGCTCCACTCTACCTGATTGGCGTGTTATTAAGTTTATTTAATTGTCACATGAGTACAGCAGATTTATGTGAATATTTCAGGTCGCATGATATTGATTGGTTTTAGCTTGGGACCGTTTAATCATTTCTGGTACAGTCTACTGGACAAATTCATCAAAGGTCGGACTGGGGCCAACGTTCTCACGAAGATTGCCTGTGACCAGATGGTGGCTGCTCCCTTCTTCTGTTCATCCTTTCTTTGTGGTAAGATTTTCTCTTGTAGTCATTTCCTTCTCATTACTCATTTCTGCCTCTTCTTTATGTTTTCCATCATCCCAATGCTTTCATCATTTATTTCTGTTTTTAATTTCTTTCTTTTCATTGCTTTCTCTTCATCATTCCTTTTTATTAATTTCTTTCTGTTCATTATTTTGTCTATCATTTCTTTGTCTTTGTAATTTTTTTCTTTTCATTGTTCCATTCTCTTGTTCATTTTCCCCCCTTCATCATTCCTTTCACTTCATCTTTCCTCTCTTCATCATTCTCTCCTCTTACTTTCTGTTCATCATTTATTTCTTTTCACGATTTCATCTACTGTAATATGCTCCTCTCTGTTGTTACCTACTATCTGCACTTGTTCCATGTTACCCATCTCCTTATTTTGTTACTGATCATCAGTGTCTGTGGATGTATGATTGCTGAGTTCTTATGGAAGCTAGATTCTGACATTATTGCGGTTTGTTACAGGGCTCAGCTTCCTGGAGGGTCATGGTCTCGAAGGTGCCAAACTAGAGATGAGGGAAAAGTTTTTCAGAATTTACCTGGTATGTTTCCTGTCTAATTTACCTGGTATGTTTCATGTCTAATTTACCTGGTATGTTTCATGTCTAATTTACCTGGTATGTTTCATGTCTAATTTACCTGGTATGTTTCTCATGTCTAATTTACCTGGTATGTTTCTCATGTCTAAATCACCTGGTATGTTTCTTATGTCTAATTTACCTGGTATGTTTCATTTCTAATTTACCTGGTATATTTCATTTCTAATTTACCTGGTATGTTTCATGTCTAATTTACCTGGTATGTTTCATGTCTAATTTACCTGGTATGTTTCTCATGTCTAATTTACCTGGTATGTTTCATGTCTAATTTACCTGGTAGGTTTCATGTCTAAATTGTATTTCATGTGGTTGTCATAAGCACAGTGAAATTGCAAGAACATCATTCATCATTCAGAAGCCATTTCTAGCGCTATTAGAATTATGATACTGTGTTTACAACACCTTAGCCACAGATGCTGACTAGATTTAATGAATAACATTTAGAATCAAGGGAATGTTTCACCATTGTAAAATTGAACACAGTAGACACATAAAATACAATTCAGTTTGACTAATTTTTCGTAAATCAAACTGGGTATAAGTCGAATTTATATTTTTTAAACACTATTTTCATTTAGAATGCAGTTCCAAAACGTCTGCCTCTACGCAGTAGGGTCAAGCAGACTCATTTCTAGACCCTGCTGTCCTCTTGGTAGACATAAGTGTGAATGGTCATAAGTCGCATAGGTCGTAAGTCGCATAGGTCGTAAGTCGAGGAAAAGGTGTATTCTGTGTGTTTTGTTTAATTGAACATCATAATTAGCTCATTAAAAAAAGCTGTCTCAGACATTGAAATGTTGCCTTTATATCACAGGTTGACTGGGCATTTTGGCCAGCGGCACAGTTTGTCAACTTCCGGTTTGTCCCCAGCAGCTTTCGTGTTCTGTATGTGAGCTTTGCAGCATTGCTATGGAATATCTTCTTGTCATACATAAAGCATGACCACGTATGTATGGCTGTATTTGTGGTCATACGTAAAGATGACTGTGTATTCAACAGTGGATTTCTCTTCTTTACTTGCTCTTTTGCCAAGATTCACATTGTTGAGGCACTGTTTGTTTACTGACTGTTTATAAAACAACCAAATTCCTAGAGGAGGCGAAGTATAGGATGATTTTGAGCGAGGTGGTTGAGGGCCTTTGTTCCATCGGGGCATGACAGAGGAAGAGAGCTTCCTTGCAGTTTGGACACGGTCATAAATGATGTCTCGTACACTTGATGTTGACGGAAATGTTAATAAGTGTTATATCGAACGAACAAACTTTATTTTCAAAGGGTCACAAATTGGGCACGCAGGCCAGTCTTACATTCCACCCTTCCAAACACTCGTCTTTCATACAGCAGTTGTATTTTATCAATTAGCATGTTAAAACTATATGATAATATGCATATTATGAATATCAAGGAAAAAACAGTCACCAGTAGATGGCAAGGACAGTAAAAGAAATGTCTTTTAAGTGGAAGTGCTCACAAGACGTGTTGTATTCTTTCAAAGTAATAAGTTATAGTATATGTTGTCTGTCTGTATTCAAGAGAATGAGATCTGTAAAACTGATGCACATGCAACACTCAGGTTCTGGAGCAGGACTGCAGTTCAGTAGTGGACGAGCAACCAGAACCTGCCGCCAGAGTTAACAGCTGGTGAACGTGAAGAAGAAGAAGAAGAAGTACATGTTGTACCACTCTCTGATTTTAATGTTATTTAAACTGCAGCACGTTTAGTAGTGTACATTTCTGTAATGTGGATTCCCCTTGTGGGATCCAGGGTCACATTGTGGGGCATACAAGTTTAGGCCCACTGCAGCTCTAACACAGATGTTGTGAGAGTTAACTATTTGGGGGTTTTCCTAAGGGAGTTTATATTATTTTTGTCCTTTACTCTGATTGATTAGTTTTGTTCTTGTCCTGTACTTTGATTGATTGGTTTTGTTCTTGTCCTGTACTCTGATTGAATGGTTTTGTTCTTGTCCTGTACTTTGATTGAATGGTTTTGTTCTTGTCCTGTACTTTGATTGAATGGTTTTGTTCTTGTCCTGTACTCTGATTGAATGATTTTGTTCTTGTCCTGTACTCTGATTGAATGGTTTTGTTCTTGTCCTGTACTCTGATTGAATGGTTTTGTTCTTGTCCTGTACTTTGATTAAATGGTTTTGTTCTTGTCCTGTACTCTGATTGAATGGTTTTGTTTTTGTCCTTTACTCTGATTGAATGGTTTTGTTCTTGTCCTGTACTTTGATTGAATGGTTTTGTTCTTGTCCTGTACTTTGATTGAATGATTTTGTTCTTGTCCTGTACTCTGATTGAATGGTTTTGTTCTTGTCCTGTACTTTGATTAAATGGTTTTGTTCTTGTCCTGTACTTTGATTGATTGGTTTTGTTCTTGTCCTGTACTCTGATTGAATGATTTTGTTCTTGTCCTGTACTCTGATTGATTGGTTTTGTTTTTGTCCTTTACTCTGATTAAATGGTTTTGTTCTTGTCCTGTACTTTGATTGAATGGTTTTGTTTTTGTCCTGTACTTTGATTGAATGGTTTTGTTCTTGTCCTGTACTTTGATTGAATGGTTTTGTTCTTGTCCTGTACTTTGATTGAATGATTTTGTTCTTGTCCTGTACTTTGATTGAATGATTTTGTTCTTGTCCTGTACTTTGATTGAATGATTTTGTTCTTGTCCTGTACTTTGATTGAATGGTTTTGTTCTTGTCCTGTACTCTGATTGAATGATTTTGTTCTTGTCCTGTACTTTGATTGAATGGTTTTGTTCTTGTCCTGTACTTTGATTGAATGGTGTTGTTCTTTTCCTGTACTTTGATTGAATGATTTTGTTCTTGTCCTGTACTTTGATTGAATGATTTTGTTCTTATCCTGTACTTTGATTGAATGATTTTGTTCTTGTCCTGTACTTTGATTGAATGGTTTTGTTCTTGTCCTGTACTCTAATTGAATGGTTTTGTTCTTGTCCTGTACTTTGATTGAATGATTTTGTTCTTGTCCTGTACTCTAATTGAATGGTTTTGTTCTTGTCCTGTACTTTGATTGAATGATTTTGTTCTTGTCCTGTACTTTGATTGAATGGTTTTGTTCTTGTCCTGTACTCTGATTGAATGGTTTTGTTCTGGTCCTGTACTCTGATTGAATGGTTTTGTTCTTGTCCTGTACTTTGATTGAATGGTTTTGTTCTTGTCCTGTACTTTGATTGAATGGTTTTGTTCTTGTCCTGTACTCTGATTGAATGCTTTTGTTCTTGTCCTGTACTTTGATTAAATGGTTTTGTTCTTGTCCTGTACTCTGATTGAATGCTTTTGTTCTTGTCCTGTACGCTGATTGAATGGTTTTGTTCTTGTCCTGTACTTTGATTGATTGGTTTTGTTCTTGTCCTGTACGCTGATTGAATGATTTTGTTCTTGTCCTGTACTCTGATTGATTGGTTTTGTTTTTGTCCTTTACTCTGATTGAATGGTTTTGTTCTTGTCCTGTACTTTGATTGAATGGTTTTGTTCTTGTCCTGTACTTTGATTGAATGATTTTGTTCTTGTCCTGTACTTTGATTGAATGGTTTTGTTCTTGTCCTGTACTTTGATTGAATGGTTTTGTTCTTGTCCTGTACTTTGATTGAATGGTTTTGTTCTTGTCCTGTACTTTGATTGAATGATTTTGTTTGTCCTGTACTTTGATTGAATGATTTTGTTCTTGTCCTGTACTTTGATTGAATGGTTTTGTTCTTGTCCTGTACTTTGATTGAATGGTTTTGTTCTTGTCCTGTACTTTGATTGAATGATTTTGTTCTTGGCCTGTACTTTGATTGAATGGTTTTGTTCTTGTTCTGTACTTTGATTGAATGGTTTTGTTCTTGTCCTGTACTTTGATTGAATGATTTTGTTCTTGTCCTGTACTTTGATTGAATGATTTTGTTCTTGTCCTGTACTTTGATTGAATGATTTTGTTCTTGTCCTGTACTTTGATTGAATGGTTTTGTTCTTGTCCTGTACTCTGATTGAATGGTTTTGTTCTTGTCCTGTACTTTGATTGAATGGTTTTGTTCTTGTCCTGTACTTTGATTGAATGGTTTTGTTCTTGTCCTGTACTTTGATTGATTGGTTTTGTTCTTGTCCTGTACTCTGATTGATTGGTTTTGTTCTTGTCCTGTACTCTGATTGATTGGTTTTGTTTTTGTCCTTTACTCTGATTGAATGGTTTTGTTTTTGTCCTTTACTCTGATTGATTGGTTTTGTTTTTGTCCTTTACTCTGATTGAATGGTTTTGTTCTTGTCCTGTACTTTGATTGAATGGTTTTGTTCTTGTCCTGTACTTTGATTTATTGATTTTGTTCTTGTCCTGTACTTTGATTGAATGGTTTTGTTCTTGTCCTGTACTCTGATTGAATGGTTTTGTTCTTGTCCTGTACTTTGATTGATTGATTTTGTTCTTGTCCTGTACTCTGATTGAATGGTTTTGTTTTTGTCCTTTACTCTGATTGATTGGTTTTGTTTTTGTCCTTTACTCTGATTGATTGGTTTTGTTTTTGTCCTTTACTCTGATTGATTGGTTTTGTTTTTGTCCTTTACTCTGATTGATTGGTTTTGTTTTTGTCCTTTACTCTGATTGATTGGTTTTGTTTTTGTCCTTTACTCTGATTGATTGGTTTTGTTCTTGTCCTTTACTTTGATTGAATAATGTTGTGTATTAATAGTAGTAGATTTTCACCCTACTAGGACATCACACAAGCGATAAACACCCGATAACACACAGTGCCACCATGTGGATGAGGATCACCCATGGAGAGGTCTCAGAAGCAGCATTTAGCCATTAGACCATATTTGTGGTTGGGCTACATTGCGGCCCCTGGTAAGAGCCAGGGTGGGGCTTCAAAGAACGAAAATTGCATCTCACAAGGAGATAACTGGGTCGATGACAAATAATGATGTTGTGTATTCACATTGGTTGGTGTTTTTGATGTCTTGTTGTTTGATTGGTTGATATTATTGTTATCCCATCCACTGATTGGTTAATATTATTTGCCCTATGCTGTGATTGGCTAATATTTTTGTCCTATACTCTAATTAATTAATATTATAAATGTTAATTTTTGATTGTCGGTTACTCTTCTTGGTTGTGATTATATATCTTAGCTTGTTGGTATTATCTTGTCCACTAATTGGTTGACATTATTGTTTTCTCTACAGGTGTCAGCTGATGAAGTGGACGTTCACTAGTGATGTCGTCACAAGATCCTGCACTGTGTAGATTAGCTTTTGTAGAAATCCATCCCTAACTACAAACTTGAGCTCCTATTGAAAAAGCTTTAGTGGAAACTGCACTCAGTTCGGTTGCCATCTTTTGTGCCTGTCTCATAGATTATTAATACCATGTCATTCTTTTAAATAATATTAATAACAACTTCACTTCACTTCATCTGGCTTACAGGAGAAGGTTGGATTTCTGCCACTATAGAACACACATTAATTGCCCTTGGCAGTCGAATAGTCAGATTTCTGGTATAGTACCACTTACATGTTCAGACAGTCTTTCAACTGGTTTCAAGGTTTGGAAACAAGAGGATGAACATCATTGCACCAGATTTTATTCAGTATAGTTCAGTCTTCCAGGCTGCCGACAGAGAGCATCGCACAAAGCATGAACTTCACAGCTCCAGCAGTGACCCCCCACGGATCTGCATAAACATTGCATTTACTAACCAAACAATATAGTCTGTAAAACAATCTTCAAAATCTTGGGGCAAATGGCTTCACTATTTAGCTGCAGTGCAGTGACCTGCTCTTCCTTCCTTCTTCAAACTAGTGCTCAGTCGCAGTCACAAAATCAACAGAACTGACAAGATTTCAGAGTTTCCTGAACATTCTCTATTCCTTCAACTGCCATTTGTAATTTATTATGATGCTTATTATAATTTTAATCTAAATTGTTATTATAATGTTTGTTATGAGGTGTGCAACCTATTGAACTCAACACTGCCTAGGGTTGTGATGGAACTCAAGCACTGCCTAGGGTTGTGATGGGAGTCGGCACTGCCTAGGGTTGTGATGGGAGTCGGCACTGCCTAGGGTTGTGATGAACTCAACACTGCCTAGGGTTGTGATGGAACTCAACACTGTCTAGGGTTGTGATGAACTCAGCACTGTCTAGGGTTGTGATGAACTCAACACTGTCTAGAGTTGTGATGGGACTCAGCACTGCCTAGAGTTGTGATGAACTCAACACTGCCTAGGGTTGTGATGGAACTCAGCACTGCCTAGGGTTGTGATGGAACTCAACACTGCCTAGGGTTGTGATGGAACTCAGCACTGCCTAGGGTTGTGAGGGAACTCAACACTGCCTAGGGTTGTGATGAACTCAACACTGCCTAGGGTTGTGAGGGAACTCAACACTGCCTAGGGTTGTGATGAACTCAACACTGCCTAGGGTTGTGAGGGAACTCAACACTGTCTAGGGTTGTGAGGGAACTCAACACTGCCTAGGGTTGTGATGAACTCAACACTGCCTAGGGTTGTGAGGGAACTCAACACTGCCTAGGGTTGTGAGGGAACTCAACACTGCCTAGGGTTGTGAGGGAACTCAACACTGTCTAGGGTTGTGATGGGACTCAGCACTGCCTAGGGTTGTGATGGAACTCAACACTGCCTAGGGTTGTGATGAACTCAACACTGTCTAGGGTTGTGATGGAACTCAACACTGCCTAGGGTTGTGATGGAACTCAACACTGCCTAGGGTTGTGAGGGAACTCAACACTGTCTAGGGTTGTGATGGAACTCAACACTGTCTAGGGTTGTGATAAACTCAACACTGCCTAGGGTTGTGATGGGAGTCGGCACTGCCTAGGGTTGTGATGGAACTCAACACTGCCTAGGGTTGTGATGGGAGTCGGCACTGCCTAGGGTTGTGATGGAACTCAACACTGCCTAGGGTTGTGATGGGACTCAACACTGCCTAGGGTTGTGATGGAACTCAACACTGCCTAGGGTTGTGATGAACTCAACACTGTCTAGGGTTGTGATGAACTCAACACTGCCTAGGGTTGTGATGGGACTCAGCACTGCCCGAGTTGATGTAAAACCAGTATTTCTCTGGTGTACCTGTGTGTGGATTTTCCCAACTTGGGAGAATCAATGCAGGAGTCTGTTTTGTTATTATTGCTATGTTTTTCATGTTTATGTAAGTTTTGATAACAAGGGACAGAAAATTAAGCGAAGGACGACTGCTGCTGTTGATTGGAAGCCTCTTGTTGTGTTTCCTCCCCCAAAGAGTTTCTGCCAGGAGCTGCTAACATTCTGTCTTATTTTTTGTGTCTCCAAATCCATAGATGACATCTGTTAAATTGGCTATACACAATATATAAAAAAGTTGTAACAAATATGTGCTCTGCTTATAGAGTTTATATAAAGTGTTAATATGAAATTCTGTTCTTTGTATAGATTTTGTATAAACAGTTAAATTCTAGAGTAAATAAATTGTTACAGAAAATGATTATCTTGTTGTAAGTTGAGTAAAGGACTGTTTTCACACCCTCATTGAGTATATAGTGCTAGTCCTATTACTGGGTAATCTAGTCAACATCAGGTCAGTCACCTTTACTTCCCAGGACTTTACCTGTACCTATTTTAGGCTTAGTCAACCTGGGATGCAAGGTCATTTTTGGCAAAAAACCTGACTAGGTGGAATTTGAACCCATTTCCCCGAGCCCTCCATGCCAGGTGGCTTCCTGTCTTGTTATTGTAGTTGACATAATTTGTTTAGTATTTTCTTTCTTTATAAGTTTTGTTGACCTTGTTAAATTATAGGTTATTCTTGAGGATTATGGGAGACAAGGACAAGTGGTAACATCGTGGCCATGTACCAAACACCCAAAAGCACAACGAGAACACAAGAATGCATAATATGTTTACAATCACTGCATGTGTAAGGCAGTGATCTGTGCTCCTTCCATTCTTATTTACTATATTCAAAAACAGAATATAAAAAGAAACCAGCTTTAAAGCAGTCGGCCCAGAGAATAAGGAACTTTACTCCCAGAGGAAGAATTAGATCCACACACAATAAAAGAGCTACTATATTCAGTGTATGTTTTACAGTGAGGGGGATTAGACTACAAGACCATTTGAACAGGCTAAGTTCGACGTACAGAAGATATAACATGAAAGAAAATGCAATAGAATTTCTAGTCATCTACATATCGGGTTGAATGATACTTGTCTGAAACAAGTTAACAGAATTTAAATATCTCGGAAGTATATTCTTGGAGAATGGGAGAATAGATTGGGAAATAGAAACACCATGTCAGCAAGTCATTGCACTTATATGTTTTTATTATTAGGCTACCCAGATGTAAGTATAACCACCAAAACACAGATTATAAACAGCATATTCATACCAATACAGTGCTACCAGTGCCAGACTTGGAAGTTTTTGAAGTCTAAACTGTGTAAAATTAACACATATGAAATGAGAGACCTGAGGAAAGCCAACCTAACTACCTGAGAGATAGTGAGAAATTATATCAGAGTGGTCAAGCTATCTGATAGATAGTGAGAAATGATATCAGAGTGGTCAAGCTATCTGATAGATAGTGAGAAATGATATCAGAGTGGTCAAGCTATCTGATAGATAGTGAGAAATAATATCAGAGTGGTCAAGCTATCTATGAGATAGTGAGAAATGATATCAGAGTGGTCAAGCTATCTGAGAGATAGTGAGAAATGATATCAGAGTGGTCATCTCGTTATAATGCAGCCACAGCTACCACCACGACTGGCACTACACAAAAGATTTGATGTGAAAGCAAGAAGTTACTCTAGAAGAAGATGGATTGATACTTTGGCACAGAATGAACAATAGTCATTGCTGCTCATCAAGCAATGGATCACAAACTGTTTCCTACCCACAAAGCTTAATGATGATCCCGTTGTTGATGAATACGTTGTTAATATCAGGTGTTTGCTCTTATTTATTGAGGGTACGAATATAGTTTTCAGCGATATATATTTTTTCCATTTATTGTTTGTATAAACTATTTAAATCAAATGTTTTTTCTCCTGAAAGTTTGTATAAACTTTTAACATTATCATGTTTAAAGTTTCTGTAAATGTTGGATATCACAGCCAGTGTTTGTTGGCTCTTGATGTAAACTGTTGGTTGAAGCAAGTGTGTTTTGGCTGTCAATGTAAACTGTTGGTTGAAGCAAGTGTGTTTTGGCTGTCAATGTAAACTGTTGGTTGAAGCAAGTGTGTTTTGGCTGTCAATGTAAACTGTTGGTTGAAGCAAGTGTGTGTTGGCTGTCGATGTAAACTGTTGGTTGAAGACAGTAGAGGACAAGAGGCAGACCAAGAAAGACCTGGATACAGAACTTGACTGACTGGACAGGCCTCAGGCATGCAGCCATGAAGTCCATAGCAACTGACCGTCAAAGGTGGAGGGAGCTGATCAGACAGTCAACAGCAACTGGTGACCCAACGACCCGCAGTGTTACGGGACAGTGATGATGTTATGATGTAAATTACTTATTTGTGTTTTCACTATGAAGGTTGAATGCCGTATCTGTGTATGTAGATCCACTTCTGGCTTGGAGGTTATTATGTGGTGAGGCCGTAAGTCTCCTCCATTAGTGTTTTTCAGTGTGTAGGCCGCATGCCACTGATGGGGTGTGGGAAATGCCCAGGTGGGTCAAAGGAAATGTCCTGATGACCCACCAACATTTTTGTCCCTAATCATGTAATGGGTTAGGGTAGGTAATATTTTCCTGCCAGGAATGTAGTCTGATTGACACATCAAGGTTGAAACTAAAACAGGTACAAAGCCTGGAAACCCAATCGAACAGCATAGATTTTCTCTGTAAAGATCCAGAGCAGCAGCATTTTTTTTGCATTAGCCAAGAAAATTACTGCTGTCTGTATTTGTTTTTGTTTCATGGTTAGCTGTCAACTAGATTGTGAAAAAAATTGTCACTGTTTCATGGGCCGTGGAAGTTAAAAAGGTTGAAGAACACTGTCTTACTTTATGAGACTCTCATACCACTGTCTGAAACCAGGAGAATGGTATTTGACATCCAAATGAAGCGCCGAAAGAAATGAATCCTATCAGCAGAAATACACAAATCACTTCGGTTCACATAATGCTGGGTTGCTTATCCTAGTTCTGACCATTACTGCACATTTCAGAAGCAGTCCAGTGTGGATGTGTGGCCTCATTGTTTAAATTTCCA